TCCATCTCCACCTGCCTTTCTCCCAGCCACCACTAGTACTAGTGTGACACTACAGGGGGTGAACCTTGAATCAGGTTCAGGGGGCTTGGTAATAAAGAGCAGTTCACTTGAGTTAAATGAACAGAAAGCACTGTCTCACCAGAGTGCCTTAAATGCCCCGTGAGAAAGGCAGGAGCACACAGCTGGAATGGGTTAAAGGGTGGCTGTTCCAGCTTTGTCTCTCACTGGATTAGGTAGAGATTTGACAGATGGTTGCAACCTTGTCCTGGTGTTGCCACTTTGTGTCTGCTGCTCAGAGGTTCCAGGGAGTGCCAGTCTGTGGAGTTGTTTCCGCAGCAGTGTTACACTTACAAGAGCAATGCTTTCAAGGGATAGTTTAACCTGCTTAGAATTTGGAATACATCAGTTGTGTAATTCAAATACCTACTTGTAAAGCCACAATAAATTACTAAAACTGGCCCATCTCTCTCTACAGGTCTAATAACCTCTCTCCATGTTATTAGACCCCTAGCAGAAATGCAACATAAAAATGGCAAAACTGTTCAATCTGTTCAAACTATTCCATCTACTGCCTGTCCTGTGAACTTGTTTAAGTGTTTGTCATATATTTTTGATTTTTCTGTAAACAGTATATTTTGGCAATGTTTTTTGAATGTGTTGTGTCAAGTGGCAGACTTTCTACTATAGGTTTATTACACTTCTGTACCCTTTCAGAAGGGAAAGTGTTTCTTTAGAACTAGCTTTTTAATTTCACTCTCAAAAACTCCAGATTTGTATTTAGATAGAGAAAAATAAAATCAATACTTTTATTTTGTCCTTTGTCGAAGGAAGGCATCCTGTCTGTTGAGAACCTCAGTCTATTAAACCAAGCTAGAAATTGCAGATGTTCAAGACTATCAAATATTTTTTGAATAACTTGGTTCTTTAATAAAACAGGAAGCAAAATTTAAAATAAATGTTATAAAAAAGAAAATATGAAAATTTTAGCCTTTGTTTCTTCTGTGCTTCATCTACTTTTCTTCTCTTCCCTAAAATTTTTGATGTTCTTTCATGGACAGGTAAGTCTGACTGCTCTGGAATTTCGAGTATAACACTAAAATCAGCACTCCTTAAACTTCGAGGCTGGTTCCTTTTAGCACAGCCTCTAGAGATCTGTTGTATGTGTCTTAAAACTTTCCCTTCTATCACTGATTGTTGTTGACAACAGTCCTTTAGTATACAGTATATATTAGTATAACATTTTCAGGTAGTGTCTTGTGCCAGTTTGCAATTATCTCCTTGTTCCATACTCACTGAGTTTGGTGGCTTACATGTTGAATCAGTTCCACGTGCCTTTTCCTAAATCACCTTTAAGCAGTTGTTGCAATTACCACAACACTTAAATATATCTTAGCTTGGAGGTGTCAGTGTCTCTCGTGTGAAACAAAACCAATTAAATTAAAATGAAGCAATAAATTGGAATAAGAATTTGAGATACAACAAATTCATGTATTTACCTCCAAGCTTCCTTTTCTTTTTGGAAGAAGCACTTTGGAAACAACAGAAAATGTGTTTTTAAAGAGGGGCCTGAAAAAGGGGAAATTGCTAGTGTGGAAGGAATCTCACTCAGTTATTCTAATGAGGATGGAAAGATTAATTTGCAAATGGAAATTACTTATGTCTCACCATCAGACTTCTGAATAACCAGGGAAGTGAAAAAGTGTGGTGTTCCAAGTTTCATTGATCTGAGCTTTAATTGAGAAATGTAAGCTTCTCAGAAGTGGTGTACTCCAGTTGCATGTTTGAAACTTTTCTGCAGTGCAGAGGTAATATTTTGTGTTCCTGTAAATTTATACTGAGTAATTTGTTTCATGTTTGAATATTATCTTTAAATGCAAACTTGTTTGCACTAGCTTTATAATAAGGATGGTTTTATGTTGAAGGAAGTCAGAAGGTGGCTAAAACTGACATTTTTTATAGAGGACTTTCTGTTCCAGTGTGAGGAAAATGGCTTAAAATAGGTTGAAGTGGTCCAATTCATTAAAAAACCCCTAAGTCTAATACACCTCATTAGTTTCCATTGTAACATGCATCACAAATGTCCTAGATGCTAGGAATAGTTTTTGAAATTATTTTTTATCTTGGAGACAAGATCTATCCTTTCAGCATACATACACCTACAGTGCAAAGTGTTGAATGCTTGCATTCTTAAAGGTAACATTAATTTTGTGAGGTAAACAGCACTTTTAAAATCCCAGGTTTTCTCTGAAGATTTAACTAAGGAACAGTGCAGGATAAATAAGAAGTATTAGAACCTTGATTTGTAATAGCCTGGGGGTGGGAACTGCTGTTGGAGCAGGTCAAGAGGAGGGTGGAGATGATTTAGAGGGATGGAACACCTCTCCTATGAGGTGTGAACACCTATGAGAAAAAGCTCAGAGTTGGGATTCTTCAGCCTGGAGAGAGAAGTCTCTGGGAAGACATTAGAGCACCTTGTCAATCCTGAAAGGAGGCTACAGGAAAGCTGAAGGGACTTTTCCAAAGGCTGTTTAGTGACAGGCCAAGGGGTGGTGGCTTTAAAGTAAAAGAGGGTTGATTTAGATCAGGAAGAAATTCTTTACTGTGATGGTGGTGAGACACTGGAAGAGGCTGTCTGGAGAAGTTATGTATGTCCCATCCCTGGCAGTGTTCAAGGCCAGGTTGACTGGGGCTTTGAGCAACCTGGTGTAGTGGAAGGTGTCCCTGCCTATGGCAGGGGCGTTGGAACTAGTTGATCTTGAAGGTCCCTTCCAACCCAAACCATTCTGTGATTCTATGTTCATCTAACAGAGACTATGCAAGAACTTGTCCTGGGCTAACCAGTGACACTCAGATGGAAGTGATAACCAAACAGAAGATTAGCTGGTGCTTGTAACAGCTGGTGATGCAAGGTTCTTGCGTTTCAGTGCCCCTTAGTGGTGGCTAGAGGTGATGGGGTAGGAACACTGGGGTTTTCACCTGGGCTTGCAGCATGGCAATGTAGAGGAGTAGCTGCAGGTGCTCATTCTGTATGGGAAGATGGGATGAGAGCTTTTCCTTGCCTGTGTTCTACTTACTGTATGTCGTTAGAAGTTGAATATGTCTGTGGGGGCACTAAGTACATACAAAATGTGCTACTGCTCTGCCTTCTTGGAGATTTTTGCTCAGTATACTGGGCTATGGTGGGAGCCTTCATCATGCATCTGAAACACTGTAAGATATGCAATAATTGTAGTGTTATGGATTGTTAGCTTGATTGATTTTCCTACTTCAAAGTAATGGTGTAGAAATTTCACATTCAATATGGTTCATCTGTGCTTTAAGAATAAGTAACGTTGTGGGCTTGTAATACAGTGAGTAGAGCTGTGTATGAAGCCAGTGTCAAGGCTTTCAAGGCTCGATGTCAGAGAAGAAACACTAGAGTCAGTACATGCATATAGGCATGAAACAAATGAAAAAAAAAAAAAACTTCAAAGGAGCAGGACAAGGTCTGGTGAGTTTGGAAGACCTTCCATAGTTGCTGGCTGTGTTTTTGGATGACTTTCAGATTTTGTTTGTTTTGTTTGTACACTTTCAAGTCCTGTACAGCCACAAGAGAGAGCAGCTCATTTCCTTCTTTGCCCTCAGTAGCATCTACTTTGAGGGTGATAACCTGCCTGTTAATGATTGAGAGTCACATCTATTAAATGTAGCCAACCCAAGCATTCTACAGCAACACCGGATGAAGCTGGGATGGAAGGTGCTAAATTGTAGCATATGGTTCAGCCTGCAAACTATGTGTTCTTTGCCAGTGATGTTTGAAGGTAACATTGTATCTTACAGGAATTTTGGTTTTCTGAATGCTTAATGCTAAAACTGAGAAAAGTGCTGTTGGGTGGTGCAGTTGAGGTGCTAAACTTCATTGTGCGGTAGGAGTTGTAATGCCCAGGGAATAACAGTTCCACAGGACACTAAGCTGAAAACTAGTTTTTTAAATGTGCAAAAAGAACTGATCTTTTTATTTATTTATTTTTTTAAATAAAACGAACGCACATACTCAAGTTAGGGATTTTTTTTTTTAAGACTTCATTCTGAACATCATTCCTCTGAGCTGCTTCTATTGTTTAACCTGTGTAGGTTGAAATATCTGTGTAGTGAGAAAAAATGTGGTACTAAGTGTACGATCCGCAATGGAAAAAGAACGCCTACATTTCACGAGTCCTGAAACCTCTCTTTCAGCTGATACAGTGGCACAAATATTGTGTTTGCTGTAACAGGCAGCAACCTAGGTATTATTATTAAAGACCTCTTTCAGCTTTTTTGTGGTTCTGTGTTGATCTCTGAAACATCCAGAAGAATTGTGCAGTTATTTTTCCATAGACTTTAGATATTGTTGCTCAAGGCACATGTTAATAATTTAAGGAGTGTTTTTTCCTGTGTTGAGAGGAGAGTTAGAAAGTAAGTGACTTGGTGCACTTCAAAATGCAGGTGAAGAAAACACTTTAAAGAAGTGTTGGTATACAGTGGGACTGGATTGCTTCTGTCGTCTTTTTTTTTTCAGCTGGAATCTGCAGTCAGTGTCTGTTTTGTTACTCTATGGGTTATATTGCCAGGATGTCATTGGTGTTACTTGTGCTCATCCACCTGGATTATGGGAAGAAATACGTTTAAATGTTTTGCCGCAGCCTCTGAAATGTATATGCAACAAGCAAAATCAGTGGGCTTCATGTGGGTGTTCTATGTCAGTTTTCAGGGTGTCTGAATGTTACCATTGGGCTTTGACCTTTTCTAGACAGCTTTGGTGATGTTTGATTTGTTCTTAATTTTCATAGGGATAGTTGATGGATACCTAAAGCTTTGGTACTCTCATTGTCACTTCAGTTGACTATTGACAGTAGACATCATTTGAAGGAATAATTCTGAATTTAAAGCTTTTTCTTCTTTATCTACTTCATACTTCCCACCACTATCCCACTCCATAATCTCAAGGACATTTCTCAATCTAATTTTTTGTTGTGTTTCAGGGAATACCTTGGAAAACAGCTGCAGTCAGAACAACCTCAGACGGCCACTGCACGGAGCTAAACGTTTCTGTCAGTTCATGCAGTTCATACTTACAACTACAGTATGTTTGTCTTTAAAATTAATATAAAGGAAATACTGAAATCACATGTTCCCTATCTGCTACTGGTGCATAAACATTCCAACTTTCCTCTGATGTTGTTGGCTTAGTAAAAATTTGTTTGTTCTGATGCTTATGCCTATTAGCTTCTTGTTCTATTCTGAATGTATATGAAGAAATGTGGCTAATATATTGCATTTGTTTTATGTATTTATTCTCATAATAAAAAATATTAATAAAGGAAGTCCCTTCCATAATGGATATTACAACTAGCCTAGAAAATTTGCTCTCTTATTTTTGTGGGTTGTCAGTGTTGTGACTTTCCAAGGAAAGCAAGTGGTCCTTATATGTCTCCAGACAAATTAATAAAGCTTTGAAATGGTGTTCCATAGAAAGTGCAATAGCCTGAGAAATGTTGATTATGGATACTAAAATATATACCAAGACTTAAAACAGTTTAAAAATTGTATATAAGAACAAATGTATAGGTGGGGGCTTTTTTGAATGTGGGGTACTTCTCTTGTTAGAGACTACATTTAAAAAATCTGGAAATGAGAAGAGGAAATGAAAATGAACACTCTTCCGTCAGTGAAAACTGGTACATTCAAGACTATTAGTCCAGCAGTTTAAGACCACTTTTAAGGCTGTACATCAGAGATCAAGTTGAGTTTTTTTTTGTTTTTTTGTTTTTTGGGTTTTTTTTAAATAAATTTAGCTATAATTATTTTCTGTGTTTTGTAATTTGAAAGTATAAAATACGTAGGCATCAATAAATCTAAGATGATCTTGGATTGGCATGTGAAAATAGTTTTGTTGCATAGATAGAAGCCTGGCTCCAGGCACATGCAGCACTGCATAGTTAATATTCTTGTGATTCATTTTTAGAATTAGAAAAAAAAAAAAAGGGAGCAAACATAATCTTGTTGCTAGTCTTGTGTGGTGCAAGTCTCTGGGGAAGCTTAGGGTACTTTATCACCAAGTGAAAAGGCAAATTGGGAGAACATTTTTTTTTCATCATACGTAATTAAAATTTGACCCCTGTTGCAGCAGAGAGAGAGAACAGTTCGGGGATTATGGTTTGGTGATTTCTTGGCCTGCTTAATTAAAATTGGATTGTGTAGCTTAATGACTGCTGCTTTCTTCTCCATATAGGAGGCAAAGGCTTTGATATTGCAGTCAGTATCATGAGGGTAGATGCTGAAGCCTGAAAAGAATTAACCCTCACTCAGACTAGTCAGTTTACATGAGTGGATCTTAGTGCTACATATTGCCACAGTGGTGGGGGATACTGATGGTGTGGGAAGCTGTTGGGAGAAAAAGGGTGCACCCACACTGCCGGTTTTATCTTGGGTCAGTTGAATGCCTTTGAAATGAGTCTCTGAGTCTTCCCTGTGTTTCACACTTCAATTTGCATCACGTGATGGTGTCAGTACATGAACGAGGTTCTTCTCTCAATAAAGCTAAAGCTCAGGACATACATCCTGTGTGTCTTGGCTACTTGGCAAGTGTTCAGTCCACTGGAGCAGGTAAGACTGTTTGAAATATGGCCTTTTGAAATGCACGCAGAGTGAAAGCTGGATTCTTGATGCCAAGTGCCTTGCTCTACAGGTCAGTTTCTGATGTCACACTTGTTGATGTAAGGAGAGCCTAAGACTTATCTTGCAAGTGCTATAAAGGATTTGTCCTATGGTTACACCTGTATTTTTGGGCCCAAGAACCATGGTGGGGCATTAATGGGGAAGGAATATACCCACATTCAAAACTGGGTGTGTTGTTTACTATTCTGAAGGGAACACTGGAACACTGCTTGGTAAGGAGATTTAGGGTTGAATTGTATGAGTAAACATGATGGATGCTACCACTAGCAACCCCTTGAATTTCTGGAGGAGCTAGAAATAATCAAGCTAATCATAACATGAAACAAAATTGCTTACAAGGGTTGTCCTGAAACATTATGTTTCAGTATTATGAGGATTATGTTCATATATTATACGAAGAAATTCTCCTCTCTTACTTTTCTGGTATTACTCTGTGCAGAGTTTAATTCTTCATTATGGGATCTGTTTTTAAGCTATGTGATACCTGGCATTCTCCACCATTTAGTCACCACCTTCTGTCTCCAACATATTTTTAATTAAAGAAATAGTTCTGATGTTTCACTTATATCCCTGTGCAGTATTGATACTCTAGTGCCTGTGAAACCTGAAAGCCCTGAAATTTCCAGTCCCCAGTGGTGACATTCAGGTGGCTCAAGGGTTACGGCCTGAGTGAGTTGATGCCAACAACTGTACCTGAAGCCTGGAAAGCTGTGGGGGAGGACTTGCCTGTGCAGCCAGTAATTTGGACTGAAGTTGCCAGAGCTGAGGTTTCTGCAGGAGTCAGAGTGCTCACTCTGTCCTAGAGATCAATTTTGGCATAGCAGGGAGCTGTAGAGTAGATTCTTCATCTCCCATCCTATGGCAGGCCAAGACCTTGAAGACCTTGAAGCCCAGACCTGTGGAAGGAAGGCCTTGAATCCACGGTCCCAAGAGAGAAAATAGGGCAGAGGTGTCCTGGAGCTTTTAACCTTTGGAATCAGGAGAATCAACCAAAAGTTTTTGTTCAATTTTAACTGATTCATAAAACTTTCAACTGCATGTGTTTTGTGTCTGACAAGTTAAACTTAGTGTTAGCTTTTGCTACTGAGCACTGTTTTTACTATTCACCTGTTCGCATTAGCTCGCTTAACTTGCTCAGCCACACTCTCCCAAAATCTGGCATGGTGCTGGCAGGCAGATGCCATGGTAGCAGATTGATTGCTCCAGGGCTGTGTGATGACAGTGTGGGCAGAGCTTGGTGTTAGGAAGAGAAACGTATGCCAGCAGCTTCCCTGCTTCCCTCGGTGACATGAAGATTGATAGATCAGCTGCCAGGGACCAGATGACTAACTTGCTTCTAAAGTGAGGAGATCCTCCAAATTAGGGTAAGCAGTCTTCTCTTTGTGAAATTCACCATTTTCCTAACTTCTGATTCATTCTTATGTTTCATCCAACAATAAATCCAGTTCTGTTTTCCTGTAATGAAAGTAAGTCTTTGAAATCTTTATAAACTGACTTTTAAGTTTTGCATTTGAGATTTCTTCGGCTTTTCTGCTTAAATGATTGGGTTTGGTCTGAAGTCTAAACGGTAAATTGAGTAATTTTTTGAGATGCAGCAACTGTGAAAAGAATGCCATCTGTAATAATTCTGTGTAGGAGGAATGGAGGGGATGCATGGTGAAGAACAGTAGTGACACCTAGAACTAAGGCAGGAAAATGCTTTTAATCATATGCTTAGTGAATGTTTATTATTCCCACAAGTCATTTGAGATTTTCAGGCCTGCAGTCAGATGCAGAGGAGGCCAGATTTTGCTCTTGGCCCCTGTGAGCTACTTTTCTGGAAGCAAACCAGGGCTGAGCAGGAGAAGGGCTGCCCAGGCCCTGGATGTACCACACTATATCAGAACTCTGCAGTATCTCGTCTGAGTTTCAAAAATGTCTTTGTGTACCTACATGAACAAATGAAGACAGTCAACAGTTTCTAATGCTCAGAGCTGCTGGGGCAGTATTTTTTCACAAATATGACATGCTGGTTTTAGCCCAGTGAGTGATGAGGAGTCAGTTTGGTTGACTCATCTCTATCCAAAAGTTTTTGCGTTTTCCTTTGGCAGCATCTGTGGAATAGCTGGGAGTTGTCATTTTAGAACCACGTGTTGTCAGACCTGCAAACAGAGCTCATGCTCTAATGGGGATCAGGTATGTTATTAATTGTATTTGCTTCCTCTTACACTCCAGTATAATTATTTGAAAAATCCAAACTACTGTCCAGATTTTCAAATGGCCAAGGGTATCATCATTCAAATACCGGAGAAAGCAGGAACCTGTTAGGTGCAGCATTTAAGGTATTACCTTGGAACTCTTCTTACCTCGGGATGTGAATATTTTGTTGCTACAGCTGAGTCTGAAATGCATCAGATATCAATGAGTATCCTTTAAGGATATTTTTCATGACCTACCCCTTACCGCTGCTTGTAAGCTAAACTACTGTGTAGTAAGGAGTCTAATAAAAAAATAATAATAACAAATTGAATAATTATTTTTATGCAGAGTGTTTTGTTTCTGCTTCTTGATTGTATCCAAGAACACTTCTGTGCTATGGGAATGTAATTTTTCTTGGGGGTAAAACTTAAAGAGGAAAAAAAACCTCCATATGAAAGTGAACCGAAAGGCTATATATATATATATATTTTTTTTTTAACCTGATAATCACAGATTTTCCTGGAAGTGCACAGTTTGAACCTCTGTGTGAAAACTGAACCTACAGAAGGGAAAAAATTAGGTTTGTCCAAGAGTAATTTTTTGTGCCCTTATGTGCATATTTATCATATTAGTTTTTCAAGGCTCTTCAGTTTACTCTGTCTGTATTCTGTGTAAAGACAAACTGTCGAGTTGAAAAAATAAATAACTTTTTCAGTGTCATCATTAAGTATTTTAAAAAGGCTGCACACATCCAGCTCTACCAAAAAAAATAGGCAAAGAAATTGGATAGCTGATTGTGGCAAGGACAGTTAAAACGTATTGATTTGGAAATCGTAGAACTGCTACATCATCAGATTATTTTGTAGCAAGAAAACATGATAAATTGTGGACTTAAAGGTCATCTTTCTCTAGGCAATTTCCATGGTCAGGAAGCGTGCAAAACAAGCCTATTCTGTCAGGTTTAGTTGGCTAAAATAAAGCTTTGGATTATGAGTCTGCCACTGTGGGAATCACGACAACACTTTTTTTTTTTTCCCCTAGAAGATCACAGGATGTCTTCATCTTTGAGACTTACAAAGATTACAATGCATTTACAAAGAATCAATTTTTATCTGGCTTCCTCCAGCTGGTGCACTTGAACAGAGCTCGTTCTTTCCTATCCAAGTGTATGGGCATGAGACCACTGGTGAAATACTAAAATCCATTTGGGATGTCTTCAATTGGTGACGTTCTTTTACTGGACGTACATAAATTGTACCTTCTGTTGTGTTTCTGAATGTCACATCTCTCTTACTGTTTCACTTCTTAGGGGCCATCTAGTTCTTTCTGTATTATATCCTAATTTATCTTAGAATTGGTAGAATTTCACAATTTAAATACATTGTCTTGCTATGTTAAGCAGATGATGGATATGACCTAGAATAAGGGAAATGTTTCAGAAAAAAATAGTTTTCTCTGGTAAGAAAAGGCTATTTATGCCTCTTCTGTTTTGTATT